AGACATATTCTATCAACTAATAGAGCTATTTTTTTAAAAGGTAGGACAGAAAATGACTTCTATACTTTTAAAATTTGTCCAAAATTTAGGAGGTCTTTAGACCAAGCCAACTATATATTAATAAATAAAAATTAATATATCTGAATAATATAAATATACCTATATTATTAAATAAAAGGCCATATCTAAATCATTTCAACTCACTTGTTAATAATACAAATGGAATCAAAAAACCCATCCACATGACATGATTAATTATGAATTAGACTTTTATAACAACCAATCATATAATATACATTTAAATTTGTTTAATACATAACTTAATAATGTCATTTTTGTTGAAAAAATCTTTCTTTCAGCATTTTTTATGAACTTTATTAATGTCAAATACATATTTCACTTTTGGCACTTTTGGCTTGTCGTTCTCTTTGTTCCCTTTATAATCCTTACGATGAGAGTAAATAAAATAATTAAGAGCTCCGGTTTCAAGTATATTGATCAGCACCTTATCTTCCGCTTTCATCTTTTTCACTTTTATCGTTTTCATTTTCGTTTCCGTAGCTTTCTCCACATCTATAATATTAGTATTAGTAACATTTTCCCCTTCCGCTTCCAAAGTTTTTCTCTTTTCATCTTTGAGATTTTTTTTCATAACTTCTTTGATTCTTTCACAATTACGATGTTTTAGAATACAATTTTCCTCCGTTTCGGTAATTTCCATGATTTCTTTTAGGATTGGTTCACTTTCAAAGACCCCTTTCCCAAAAAGATATTTTTTTACATCGAGAAGAAATCTCCGAAACTTTTTAAATGATTTACCTTTTAATAGATCCTTTATATGTTCTTCCTTATCATATTTATACTCAAGCTCATAAAAATGTACCCATTTATCATCAATCGTAACGTAGAAATATTTATAATTTTTTTCTTTTTCTTTTTCACTTTTTTCTTTTTCACTTATTATTTTTTCTTCGTTTTTTTCTTTTTTTTCCATTTTAAATAAATTTTTAAGTAATCCATAGAAAATGAAAAAAAAATAAAAAAAGAAACAAAAAACAATCAAAACTTTATTTTTTTTTTGATCGTTTTTTCCTTGATCACCGCTTTTCCCTTCATCTTCTTTTTCTTCACAAATATAAAAGTATCCACCCGCAGAACCAAATCGACATCTTATCCATTTGTCCTGTGTTTCATCCATTTTATAAAAATGTACAACCTCATTAATATTTCTAACTTTGATTTCTGCAAAAACCTTCTCGTCTTCACCATGTTTATAAGTACATTCAATTACCCCACTGTTAGAAAAGAATGATGCGATTGAACGGGTCAAAACAATTACGAGGATAGTGTTAAAATTTGCGTTAAAGAAAGGATCGGTACAAAACCAGTAATATTCAAAAAATGCATGAAGTATGCAAAGGATAATGGTAAAAAAGAAAACTTTTTTACGAACAAAACCGCTGTAACGTCTACTTTTACTAGTAATGTATTTTTCCAAATCAGGAAAATGATATGTCACAACTAAACAAAGAGTTGCGAGGAAATAACAAAAATTCATGAAATAGTTCAAAAATAACAAGTTGATTTGCCTAGCATATACAACAACCTTTGATCCATTATCTGAATTAAATTCATCAAATTGTCTGAAGATTATTGAAAAGATGTACTTATATGATAAGATACTATAAATTATGACTTCAATTGAATGAATAAAAAAACCCCAAATCAAAAAGGCTTTTACAACACTGAAGAAATCTTTGTTGGTAATACGGGCTGACTTTGGTGCCATTCGAAACCATAATGAAACTTCATCGAGTTTATTCCGACGTTGGTGAAAATGAAATCTGATAATTGCCGCAATAGTCTGAACAATTATCATAGTTCCGAACAAAATACAAAGAATTATTGAATAGATAAGACCATAATTTTGATTTGTATCTTGAATCTGATTTGTCACTCCATAAAACCATAATGGTTTGGCAAAAGTGTACCACCAAAAAATTGGTGCAAAAGAAGTTGTAGCAATAACAATGTCATCAATCAAGCAGGTAGTCATAATTCCAAATACAGATTTTGCACCATAAACAGCTATAGTAAAAAGAAGACCTGCGATAGGGATGAACGTCCCTACTTGAGAAAAAAAGCTGGTGTATTCTCTTAAACTGCTAGTAGGACCAGTACCAGGACATACAAAATCTACTCCACTATCAGTAATATTGATTATCGGTAATTGTATTATACCGTTAAGAAAACCAGTCATTGTTGAAGTAAAATTTCTTTCTGCATTTGCTGTGGAGATAAAACCAAAAAAAGGTAGAAAATAAAAAGTTTTATTTTAACCGTAGAAAACATCTTTGAAGCAAACCTATTAATGGATAAATTAATGAAAAGGATTTGATTTGGAGTTGAATTTATATGATTTTTGGCTGCCGAAATAAATATTACATTGTTACAAATGCATATAATATTACTTTTACAATAACTACAATAAGAAATTTGTGTATTAGTATTACTAGATAGAATAAAGTTAGCCAATAAGACAAATTAGGACAATGTTTTATTATTATGCAGTGTAATAATCTAATCTTTTGGGAGAAATCAATTCGCATACGATAATAATAATATTTCATTTTTATTATGTATTATATAGTAAGCCCGACAATTTTAAAAAAGAATCATAATAATCTTTTTGGAGAAATCAATCCACATACTATAATAATAATACTTTATTTAAATTTTTAAAATTTATGTTGATTGACCAATAAAGGTCAAAAATAGGGATCTCACCGAAACTATGTCAAGCTACCGAAACACTTTTGGTAAAATTTTCGATTTCGGTTCGAAAACCGAAAGTCAAATCTCAACCGAAAATCGAAACATAAACCGAAAACATGTTGTAGTACTCTTTTTTTTTTTTAATAGATAATAATAAGATAATAAATTTACTTTATTTTTCTTATCGACTGCTGACAATGGTACATTATTAATATAAAAAAAGTTTCATGATTCGAATTAAAAAATTGAGATTAATTATTTAATTGTATTATTTGAATATGTTATGTTTTACATAATTACATAATTCTAAATATCATGTTCATTTATTTTTAGAATCAAATTGGAAATTCATGAATTACTGGTCGACCTCCTTCGAATATTTGGATACACTTTGTGAAAGGAAGTGAGATTAACAATAACAAAGAACACTATTCTGCGAGGTGTCACTATTGTTCCAAATTTTTTGGTGCAGGTTACCCATGGAAAACTTGAAAAACATTTGGAATGTTTATAATAGAGAAATTCGTAAATGCTATTTGGATATCATTGAAAAAAAAACAAACAAAAACTGTTAAAAAAAAAAGAGAGTAATCAAATTTCTTCTAATAAACAAGAACAACTAAGTTTGTCTAAATTTTATGAATGCACGACATTAATCACAAAAAGAAATGATAATATTAATAGAGCATTAATCAAGGCATTCATAATGTGTGATATACTTTTTAATGTTATTCAGAATCCATATTTATCGAGTTGGTTAGACAACTACACACCACCTAATAGAAAAGCAATTCCAGGAAGACTTCTTGATACAGAAGTAAATAATATTAATACCAAAATTAATCTGCAACTTGAGAATCAAAAAAATTTAACTCTGGGGTAAAGGCTTTTATTATACAGGTGATTATTTTAATATATTAATACTTGAAAAAAAAAAACTAGGATTAATTATAAAATTTAGTAAAGATTTGTGATATAACTGATTTAGATTATTAGAAAAAATTCAAATAAAATAAGTGATTTTTAGTCAAATGTATTCATTGTTTGACTTTCGGTTTAGGTTTCAAACTTGTAAATATTCGAAAGTGCTTTCGGCACACTGTAGACATCCCTAGTCAAAAACAGGTTTATGTTTTTCAAATTAATTTTATCAGTTATGTACATGCTAAAATTTCCATTACCAAAATTTCCAGATGGAAACCTTGGAATGTTTCATGGTCGGGCATACAACAATAATAAACCAATTATTGAATGCAGAAACACTAAAAAATCGAGAATGATTTTTGAGTTTTCCCCTTATATATACTGTCAAACCTTGTTATAATAATAACGGACCTCCACGTTATAACAGAATTTTGTTATACTGAACAAAATCTTATCCCTATTTTTTTTTTATTAAATAAAAATTTATTATTATAATAAACCTTGTTATTCTGTATAAATGTAATAACAAACATTTATTATTATTGAAAATTTACATATATATTACTAGTCGCGTTATACCGAATTTTTTGATGAATCTATACTAAAAATGCTCAAGTTTGTATTTTTACAATACATTCATTTTTTCCTTTTCTACAATATATTTTATTGTTGGCTGTTTTTAACAAGCGTGTTTATCTAACATTTATCTTTTCCCTTTTTTACAATAAATTAATTGCATTATCTATCATTTGACCTTTTTTTACACGACTGCATTATCATTTGATCTTTTTTCATTTTTTTCCTTTTTTATAAAGAATACATCCATTTGTATTTGGAATTGGCACCCGTAATGTAAAATTACGGTATTACAGTGTTGCAACTCGTGTTGCGGCAATACAACATTGGAGGGTTGGTGGTGTTGCAATTAACCGTAATGTTGTAATATTTATTATACAAATAAAAGGTAGACCATGATCTTTACTTTTATGTGTGAATTACCTTTCCGCCTTGTAGAAAACCAGTTTTTCATTAATTTTTTAAAAGCATTAAATCTGAGATATCAACCACCACCTTCAAGAAAAGTGCTATAGACAAAAAATGGAGATCCACATGCTTTTTTACCACAATTAGATGATGAATTATTACATTTTAATAAATATAATAATAATAATGTTTTTAAAAGCGGGTCTAACTGCATCGTGATTATGTTGCAACACTATATATAATATGTAAAATTACGGGTATGTTGCAACATTTGGTATTTGATTACGGGAGACAAGCTTATTGTATTTTCATTTGATCTTTTTTTTCCTTTTACTATTACAAGATATTCATCTGCGATTGCTCATTCGCCATATTTTATTTATAGCTTCCATCCAAGATATTGTAATAAAATAATTGTCCTATTACTAACGGTTGATGGATGTTGCTTTTAACAATGATTTATTAAACATTTTATCAAGTAAATGAATGTCATTGATTTAATTGAAAAAATAGAGAAATGGAAAAGGAAATCTAAAAGTAAAAAAAAAATCCTATATTGTGTTTTTCTTCGAAGTGAATGGTTAGTTTATTTTAAAAATGTCAAAATTGTTTTTCATTGATATTGAAATAATCCTATTACTTATTCTAGCTGAGGAAGAAATTGAAGAAAATGTTCCAACGTTCCGATTAAAGATGTGTTGCTACTTTTAAAACTGTTTATAAATTTTTTGAACAAGATAACAACCGTTTAGAATTAGATTATAATGAACTCAAAGTTTTTCGTGCAAAAAAATTTATCTATTACTTTATAAAATATATATTAATAGTATCAATAGAAGCACATACATGAAGAAACTTCAAATTTATCCATATATATACCGACAAAATTTAAGTTCTTGTCTGAAAGTACTTTTTGGGATGAACCTTTGAGCTAAGAAAATATTGGCTGAAAATTTTCTATAATGAACAAATTACATATAGGGATGGATGGTTGAGTTGGATGATGACTTTTGGTATGTGCTAGTGAAAATTTAAAAATTTATTATTCTTTATTTTGATATATTGGTAGCCCATAATTTGTATACACATTAACCTCTGTTCTTATCTACTTGTAATTGATTTAGATAAGGAATGGCATCGATAAAGACCTGATTATGTCCATGAACTGACTACCTTTTTTCGAGGAGTGATTTCAAAAAATTATTATTCTTTATTTATATTATATGTTGAGCTAACATTATTTTTACCATTTAAATTTGCTTAATATACAGATTGATGATGTCATGTTTGCTGAAAAAAAATCTTTTCCTCAAAATTTGTTATGAACTTTACTAATTTCAAGTTCGAATTCATACTTCACTAATTACAATTTTAAATTCACTCGGTAATTACAAATTCAAGAGGTTCATATGTCTCTTGGTCTTCATTTTCCTTTTGTTTCTGTCTAGAATTTTTGTGATGAGAGTAAATAAAATAATTAAGAAATCCGGTTTCAAGTATGTTGAACAGAACCTTATCATCTGCTTCCATTCTTTTCACTTCTATCTTTGTCCCATTCTTTTCCGTAATATTATCTTCAGGTTTTCTTTTCTGGAATTCCTTTCCATCGGAAAGTAAAAATTCTATATTTTTCACTTTACCGAATTCTTCATATTTATAATAGTATGTATTTTTCCCTATCTGAATAATTTTCTTAATTTCTTCTATGATTGGACCACTTTCCAAGGCTCCTTTCCCGAAAATATATCTTTTCATTTTAGGAAAAAATTCTAGATCGTTTTCGAGATCTTTATTATATTTATAATCAAGCTTATAAAAATACACCCATTTATCACCAATCGTAACGTAGTAATATCCATGATTTCCCCCTTCTAGTTCTTCTTCTTTTTCTTCTTTTTCCTCTTCTACATTTTCTTCCTTTTCTCTTTTAAACAATTTTTTAAATAATCCATGGATAACGAAAAAAAAACAAAAAAAGATACAGAAAAAAATATCGACTCTATTTTTTTCTTCACTTTTAACGAATTTTTCTTCTTCTTCATGAATATAAAAGTATTCACCCGCGGAACTAAATCGGCATCTTATAGATTTCTTCAGCCTTTTATCCCATGTATAAAAATATTGAACTTCCTTAATATTTCTAGCTTCCATTTCTGCATAAACCTTCTCATCTTTATATTGATTATAAATACGTAAAACTACTTCACTATCAGAAAAGAATGATGTGATTGAACGGGTCAAAACAATAGCGAGAAGAACGGTAAAAACTACGTTAAAAAAAGGGTCGGTACAAAACCAGTAATATTCAAAGAATGTATGAAACATGGAAAGGGTAACGGTAAAAAAGAAAACTTTTTTGCGAACAAAACCATGGTAAAGTCTATTTTCACTAGCAATACAAATTATATATTTTTCCAAATCAGGAAAATGATATGTTGCAACTAAACAAAAACTTGCAAGGAAATAACAAAAATTTATGAAATAGTTTAAAAATAACAAGTTGATTTGCTTAGCACGCACAACAACCTTTGATCCATTATTTGAATTAAGTTCATCGAATTCTCTGAAGATTGTTAAAAAGATGTAATTATATGACAAGACACTATAAATTATGACTTCAATTGAATGAATAAAAAACCCCCAAACAAAGAAGGCTGTTGAAACAGCGAAGAATTCTTTGTTGGTAAGACGATAATTCTTTGGAGACATATGGAACCATAATGAATCTTCATTAAGTTTATTCCGGCGATTGTGAAAATGTAACCTCAAAATTGATCCCAAAATCAGAATAACTACCATACTTCCGAGTAAAATACCAAGAACTATTGAATAAATAAATTCGTAGTTGTAATTTGTATCCTTTTGGATTTCATGTATTATTCCAAATAACCATAATGGTTTGGCAAAAGTGTACCACCAAAGGATTGGTCCAAAAGAAGCTGCAATAATAACCATATCATCAATCAAGCAGGTTGTCATAATTCCAAATACAGATTTTGCACCATAAATAAATATACTAAAAAGAAGGCCTGCAATAGGGGTGAACGTCCCTACTTGAGAAAACAAGCTTGTGTATTCTTTCAAATTACTATAATCCTTAGTACTAGGACACACAAAATCTATTTCATCATTAATAACTACGATTTGTGGAAATCGTATTATGTCGGAAAAAAAATTAGCTATTATTGAAGTAGTATTTTTTTGTGCTTTTGCTGTGGAAATAAAATTAAAAAAAATATAGAAAATAAAAAGTTTGATTTTAATTTTGGTCGTAGAAAGCATCTTTGAATAACAAATTATTAATGAATAAACGTTCAAGTAGTAAAATGAAAAGGATTTTATGGAAGAGAGTTTGGAATTGAATTTATATTGGCTGCTAAATATCCATTGAATATTATTAATATTGTTACAATGTATGCAAAAAAAACCACTTTTTTACATGATGCAATGGGCCAAATTTGTGTTCCGCGTTATACGTTAGTATTAATTTAGCTCAATAAATGAAATTTATGCAGCAAAAATTTATGTAAATAATAAGCCCTAACATGCATGCTACATATAAGTAAATTTTAAAAAAGAATTTTAGGATGAATCAACCCGCATATGATGATGATAATTCTTTATTTAAATTTATGATGCTGATTGACCAATAAAGGTTCTAATTATGTCAAAACAGGTTTATGTTTGCAAATAATTAATTTTAACAGTTTTTTATTATATGTCTGCTTACAAAATGAGACATGCCAAGATTTCCATTATTCCATGTTATTCCAAAGTTTCCAGATGGAAATTTTGAAATGTTTCATGGTCGGAGATACAATAACCAGTTATTGAATGCAGATACACATCAAAATTGATAATGGTTGCTGAGTTTTCATTATTGCATGCTCCGTATGCAATAACTCATATATATTATTCCGGTACATTGTTTATTTTTTCTGAAAGAGATATCGTTTTATTGAATTTAAACAAAAACTTGGAAGAAACTTAAATACCTCTCTTGAAACAAAAAGATCAAAGCCGAAAAAGAAAGGTTTATTCTCAAATTCAAATTCCACCTAAATAATAATTCATGAATGACAATCCATTTAAACTTTATAATGAAGTCTACGATACGTAACGAAATTATTCACAACTTAAACGTTAATTTAAGGAAAATAGTACTATGTTTGTTGTTTTAAACCGAGGACTTTTTTATAAGTTGACGGGGAAAGTACATTTTCTTCTTTACCGAGAAGAGCTAGTTAAGAATTGAAAGTCTCATGTTTCTTACTTCAAATCGACACAGGTAATCGAGTATTGTTAATTACTAGCAGTACGAGAAAAATGGTATGAGCTTATCTCTCAACCGAGGGTATGACGATAAATAAAAGTACTGGGGAAGCACAAAAAGAAGCCAATACAATTAGTCAGTTTTTGGAAGAATACCTCCGAATTAAATGTTGACTTTAATAAAAACCAAAGAATCGATGAGGGCATGAATAACGAAGAGGATGCTAAGCGAGAAGTAATTGATAGTGGTTTACATTATATTGTTCATTTAGAAAGAGTTTTAGAAATAATCTTAATGCTTTTAATGGAAAAGTAAATATTGGAAAGTGGATGCTTCTGATCTTAACTTCACGGAAGGATCCAATAATCGAAAAATCAGAATTTTACTATGATACAGTAGTAGTAATGACACGAGAATAAAAATTACAACATCAAATAATTAATATTAAATATTTAATATAACATTGTCCTTTTCTTCTATGACATCCTTTAACAAAAAAAATATTTACCTATGTTGATGATCAGGCTTCATCCAATAACAAAAGTCAGAATCACTTGATTTCGTTTTTTCAACCAATCCATCACCACCTAATTCAATCACCATCATACGGCATGCACATTAGTTTGTATCATTAATAAAAGGTTTTAATTAGAGCTAAATTATTAATGAATTGTGCTTCTATTTTATAAAAAATGCTCCATATAAATAATTGTTTCATCATAGACAACATAAAAATTGCACCCTATTTTTTAAAATTGATGTTGTCAATAGTGATGAATTAAAATTATGATTAAAGTTCATCATTATTATGATGCACTTGTTTCCTAACCTTTATATCTTTGAGAATTCGAGTTGAATTATTAACTGTCATTAATTGATTTTGATTGGTAGTAAAAATAGAAGAAGAAGAGAAAGGAATAGCAGTAATATAAGCGGTGGAGCAGTATATATTAAAATTGTTAGATAGTGAATTATTTATATCGGGTAAAGGTTTTGATGGTAAAGAACAAAAAATTTGTATTGTTTATTATTATTATTATTACCAACTTTTAATGCAGCTTCTGACAACCTTCTCCATTTTCTTGATTTATTAATTCGACATACTTGAAGTATTTCTTTTATTTTCCTTATAAATATTATTATATAGTTGATTTTTTTTTCAATGAGATTCTTATTACTACTATATTAATGGTTGCAGGAGAATACAATATCATTATGTGCGTTATATGATCGCAAGATGTTGATCGTAAATAAAAAAGAAAAATTGATATATTTACAAACCTGGAAGCTTCATGGAATGTGTATCTTGTTTTTTAACAATCGCTTTAATACAAATTTGCCTGTCATACAACTTTACTTTTTCTATCGAATAATTGTTAAAACATTTATCAAGTATGTTTTTGAAAATTGTTTTATGATTGTATTAGTGTTGGCCGCCAAAACTATTTTGAAGAGGCAAAAGTCAAAAAGTTACATGTCAAAACTAAATCAAAAGTCAAAACCCGTTTCAACTTATGGCGAAACCCTTTGACTTTCGCACAATTGCAATACTCTATATCTTTGGAATTGACATTAGTTGTTTGATATAATAAAGAAATAAAAAAAAATTATTTAGTAAATAGAATTTATCCAATGGAATATTGTAAAATGAGTGTGTTAGTATCCCATAATTAAAAAAAAATTTTTTTTCAGTAAATATATAATTCAAAATTTTTGCATTAGTGGTAGGCAGCTGATAATTCGATATTAGTTGATCACTAGTATCAATCTTCAGTTACAGGGTTTCTCGTATATGGTTTAGCATTAAGCCTCCTTGATCAGGAACCAGGCGCTAGACCATGTATGGGGGATCTTGGGGTTGACGTTGGAGCTGTAAGATCCAGTTATTCGCCTTGCAGACAGAAGGTATAAGTAAAGACATGGTAGGCTTCTGACTGACCATTCCTCACGGTGTGCGATGTCGGCTGTGTAACAGATTTCCATGTTGAGAGGGTATTCTTATCGGTAGGGTACCTGATCAGAGGAGCTGTTGCATGGTAGCGTTAAAACTTTTATTATTTTTAATAAAAAAATTAACTGTGTGGGAAAAAATTTTTCCAAAAAAACTAAAAATAAAACATACATTCATTTAAAACAAATTATACATTAAAAACAAATTACAAAAATAAAATATTAAAAATAAAATAAAAAGAATTCAGTTATGAAAAACAGATATGAAATTAGATCTCATCGTACATTTGAATAATGGATTATTAGTATGATTTCTCTACAATATTGTATGAGTGCACGATGATAATGTTGATGATAACGTGGGGACAACCAAGGTCATTGAGATGGCACTGTTAAAACCTGAAAAGGCTACTTGAATGACATTAATCAAGACAGAGAAGATGTGGATCATGGAGCAGAGGCAGTAGGTATGTTAACACTTTCAGCCTTTACTGAATTTGTTTGTGGTCATTACATTAAAAAAAATGATACGAGTGAATTACAAGCCTACATTGATAGTTGATGATAACGTTGATGGTATACGTTGACAATAACGTGTTGATGATACACGCTGATGATAACGTTGATGGTAATGTGTTGATGATACACGTTGATGATAACATTGGTGATAACGTTGATGATAACGTACTGCTGATACATGTTTGACAATAATAACGTTGATGTAATAGAGAGAGAGAGAGGATTCAATGAAATTATTACAGAGCTCAAAAAGACAATAATTGTTCATAAATTTCAATGGAAAAAATGGTATTTGACAAGTTTTATTATCAATAAATATCATGAGCAGTATGCAACATTGATTCTATCAATCCAATTAATGGTTTCCAAAATCTTCCTGAAATTTATTAATCATAAAAATGCAAAACTTTATTGATTTCAAAATTTCTAGAAGATAACACTAATAAAAATTCTAATTTTCAGCTAAGATCTAGAATTTTGACTGCGTATAGAAATACATCCAAGTAGTTATAAACAGCTTCCACAACTGCTGCTGTCGAGTTTGCTTTACTTTGCACCCTACCAACCATCGGTTCATTACACATTGATCAATATCATCCACCGATTATTTTACGCAATATTCTCATTACAACAGAATTATCAAAAATATAAATGTGTTCTGTAGACAAATGAAGGTGATGATGATGAAGAAGAAATCGAGAAAGAATTTGGTAAATTAGATCCTGATGTTGATAATGATTACAAATAATGATGATGGTGATGACGATGACGAAAACGCTATGAGTATTTTATTTGATGATGATGATGATGATGATGATGATGATGTCTGATAAATCAGATTTACAGAAATTATATCTAGCAATCGAGTTGTCATACTATTTGCAACCAAATTAATGATACCTGACGAAATGTTTTTGTAGGCGGGAAATTATTTTGTCACATTTGGCGAAATGGTAAATTGAATGTGACGAAAAGAAGAAAATGCGACGAAAGGAAGGAAATGTGACGAAAAGGAGATATTATAAACAATTCTAAAAAATTTTATTTAAATTTTTCTTTTAAATTTAATGTTCTTCATTAAAATGTCACACGATAGTCAAAACTAATCAAGATGAATCAATTTACGAATTTTCTGATAATAACTATGATCCAATAAGTTTAGTTATTTTCATGATTATTGTGAAGTTAATGAAACCGATAGAAATAATTATTTAGAACAAGAATGTTATGAAATAATACAAATGAAGATGATAATAATAATTCTCAAAAATTAGAAAAAAATGCAAACCAGAAGAAACATAATTTACGTAGCTTATCCAAATTTGACTCAGACAAAAGAGTAAAAAATTAAAATTTTTACTTAAATGTAAAATATGTAAAATAAAAATTATTATTGTAGATTATTACAAAAATTTTCTTTGTGAAAATGGTTATATTTTTTTCTCTCACTATTTTTTTTTTGTCAAATTTTTCTTTTCATCAACTTTTGTCAATTGACTAAATATCAGTGTTGTGACCAGAAACTCTTTTGGCCTCCCGAAACGTTTCAGAAAATGAACTTACACTAACACAAAATCCATTTTCAGCATATACAATCATATAGTAATAAAAAAAATTTTTTGTTAGAAGGTGATTTCAAAAAAACCTTGTAAAGTTAAAGACAATTTTCGGATACCTTAGTAAACATAGTAATAGTAATAGTAATAGTAAATTTTCTATTTAATATTAAAACAAATAGAAATAATAAATTTTAAGTGAATAATAACCATATTATTAAATACCAAAAGAAAATTGCCTGTTTTTAATTCATGCTAATGATCAAGGTAAAGTGATATTAGTTTTACTCGTGTAATTTGGATCATTAAAAACATTTAAAAAATAGAATTTTTTGAAAACAACTATATAGATGAGTTGAGGGATGTAGTAGCAGTCAATAACAAGATAACAATACATCTCCACCTACTCTACATATACCTATTCTTCGTGGAAGTTATATCAAATTTTCTTTACTTTAAACAAAAACGTGGGAGCTTCCTGTAATTTTTTTACTTGGTATTTTGTGAAATAATTAATATAATTAATTAACGTCATAATTTATTTATAAATAAGGAACATGAGAAAATATACAGTTCATTCTTTTTTTCATTATAAAGTGTGTTTACTAAGATGTTCGTTATAGAGAGAGAAATTAATTAAAAGGGAAGTTCATTATAGAGATTTTACTTAGTGTTCGTTAGAGTGAACTGTAGTTTGTTTATTTTGTTTTGTTTTTTTGTTTGCTAAAGGATGACATATAAGAAAAGGACAATGTTATTAAACATTTAATATTAATTATTGGTGTTGTAATAATTTTTCCCTATATATTACTGTTATACATATATAATAATAACGTTATTACGACTAAACTAATATTTTTAATGATCGGCAGTCACTGTATCATGATGATGATCAACTTCAAATATTTGACATATTTAGAACACAAATAAAAAGAAATGTTATTGGTTACTTGTTTAATATTGTTTGAACAATGAAAAAAGAGCAAATAGAAAATGAAACAACAAACAACAAACAACATTGAAAATTGAAATTTATTTTTTTTAAAAAAAAATGAAAAAACAAATTATAAGTTTCTTAGATTTATTTATTTTTTTTTATTTTTAATAGATTTTTTTTAAAAAAAAAACATATACAATAAATGAAAAAGCAGATTTACAAACGAAAAGGAATTCGATTTTTTTCCTAATCTATATATTATATTTTTTGAATGTGTTTGTGAGTTCGTCATGCGTGTACGTGTATTTAATAATTACAAGCATGGTTATTGTCGATGTTATCATTGAAATTAAAATCATAATTTTCGTAGAAATTAATATTGTTATTGTAAAGTAAAGGAGTAGTAGAAGTGCAATCGTAATTTTCGTAAGAATTATATGAAAAAATAGGAGAAGTATTCGAATCGTTAATAAATTGAGGCGATGGCAACATGTAATCATTAATTACAGGGGTCTCGATATTAGGAGAGCTATTTGCCGAAGAAGTGTCAATTAACTTATCATTATTATCATTATTGATGTAAATGATGACTATGACTATTATTTTTCTTTAAAAAAACACACATTTAGTAAAATGTACATCTAATTTTTTATTAATAAAAATAAATTAGAAATTATGGATGGCGTACGATGGAGTAGAGTTTGGAACCGCCGGATATTCAACGGCCTTATCCGATCGGATCGGATAATGATATTAGGAGCGGGCGTATAGTGTAACATTGGCGCAAAAAATGCGTATTTGAAAAGATATATATCAAGACAATGACAAATATGGACTATATGAGAGTGAAAAAGAAACTAAATTTAATGAATCAGATATACTTTATGAAGTGCCTGAAGAAAATAAAGATACTAGCTCCAATAAACCACTTACTACTCAAAGAAAACGATACAAATCTAACAAAGAAATCGAAGAATTTGAAGCTCTGTCAAATGATTCTTTTGAATTATTTACAATTGTAGGAATACTAAACAATCCATCCACTCTTTCTAACTGGGTATGGAAATGGAGCCAACATTCTAAAGATAGATTATACTATATTTACCCAGTGAATGACTTCTTTCCCATGCGAATTTGATTATGAATAGGAAACAAATACATTTAAAAAAATATTGTTTTTAAAATGAAATATATATATATGACAATGAAGTTGCTATATCTAAAGAGTAAATATAATTCAAATAGCAGTTTACCAAAGCAATTAAAATCATATAAAATCAATTTAGTTATGAAAATTATTGACGTTCTTTCAGGAACCCGTTTATCCAACAATTTAAACGGATTAGTATCCGAAATTCACTTAAAAGATATATCCATTAGACTTCATTTATCGACGGACCCAAACTCCACGATTGAGCTATTATAACGATTATGCTTATAGTTAGTTACGGTGGCGATTATTATAATGATTATGAGTATTATGACGATTATGATTATTATGACGATTATGATTATCCATTCTCAGAGACGTGGGATTTTATTAATTTAAATGCGCGTGACTGTTTATAATGTATATCTATTGTCCCATTTAATTAGAGCTTTTATGGATTTATGAAAAATTATAATGATTTTTTGCATAGTTGAATTGTCTACTAATAATGTGCATATTTAAAAAAAATTATTTAATTACGATTTTCTTGAAAAAAAAAAAAAAGCGAAGATCTGCCCACATTTATGATAGTGTTCACCAAAAAAAGACTTGAAATCAAAATTGGGTTTTCATTTATAATTTGTAATTTGGTAGTTTGTAATTTGTAATTTAAATTAAGTTTAATTTACTTTATAATTGTTTGAATTCGTTCTCGTTTTTTTTTTGTGATCGCATTATAATTACAATAATTATCTTAACAATTATATTATTATTATTATTATTATCAGGGAACGTGCATATATAAATTGATACGATCATAAACATTTGTTAATTTAAAATTTACTTTTTTGTGTGCGATAAAATCGATAAGTTTAAAATTTCAATTTTATTGTTTATTTGTTTATTTGTTAATAATCAATTAACCCTTTTGATTTCATTCATTCGTTCAAAAAACCCGGGATTCATACGAGTCGAGACATCATTTTAAATAATCAGGTTACACCAAAATAATTTCTTGTCCATTATATACAAATAAAAGCAACAATAATATTAATAATAACAAATCTCTCTAACAACGTAAATCATTGATCAGAGTTTCAGAGTTTCAAAATATTTTTACAATCACTATAATGATGCGTGTCATTGTCGACATTATGTAGCCATTGCTATACAATCACCGTCATTAATATACTATTTAAGAAGCGCTTTGAATACCATGATAAGTTTTATATGATTTATTGGTCGTTGAAAGTCAAAGAATTAATCTAAAAAAGAAGAAGAAAAAAATTTTTTTTTCTTTATTGATGTCGTTTTAACCATAGAAACCCGAACTATATGACCATACATACAATTTGTCCAAATTTGAAACGATTCGCTTTAAAATGTGGTTAAGCTGTGGCGTTACCATAGCTGTGTGACACTTGGCTTGTGGCAAAGCATGTGATGGACATATCTATTTTTAATAATATTTTCATACCCCTATTTAGACTAATTTTCTAGTGTATTAAAATATATAGTAACAATAATAGCAAATTTTTTCGGAAAATTATGTCTTGAAAAGAAAGACTTTTTTAATTGGTTTTATGTTTCGATTAAATTGGGAACACAATATTATTTATATTGTTATTATATCAACATGGAAACTTATGTTTCATTTTATTTATTACGCATTATTGTTTATTTTTAATTGCTAGCGTGTTATACATGTTTGTAAATAATTAAATTTAGTTAGGTAATGTTTTGTTTTAGAAAAAAAACGAAGAAATTAATTTAGTTTTCTTTTATTGGAAAACCATTTCGAAAAATTTATATAAATAACGAGATTTTTTCTAGATGTCGATTTTTAACGATCTTTGTATCTTAATAATAATAATTATAAAAAAAATAATATTTTTCTTCGATCGTTAATATAATTTTTTATTAAAAAAAAAATATATATATCTGAACAACGATACAAAATGGTAAACGAACACGAATCTTCTTTAGTTAATTCAAACCTCGAAGAAAGAATCACAACAAAAATGATTCTTATCAGACCTCCTTATCCACCAAAAATTTCTCCAAAAGAAATATTATTAAAGTCAAATCAATCGAAAAGACCAACAAAAAAATCTGTTAAAAAAAATAATGACAATAATGACAAAAATAACAAAAATAACAAAAACGACAACGGTAAACCAAAAATTACAAAAAGATTAAAATCTCCAAATGCCTTTATCATTTATCGAAATGAATTCGTTAAAGAATTAAGAAAAAATAATTATAAAATTCGTCAATCAATAATTTCACCGATGGTTGCCTCCAGCTGGAATAGCGAACCTCAATGCATCAAAGATACTTACTTCGATTTGGCGAGAGAAGCTGATAAATTATTTTGGGAAAATTATAACCAAGATAATAACAATAATAGTAACACCGTTATTAATATCAACAGCAGCAACAACAACAATAATTATAGTGATAGTGACAATAATAATAATAACAACAACGTTAGCAATAGTATTATCGAAAACACCATTAATATTAATAATAGCCAACTTTCTGATAATTACATTATGCCCTCTGCTACGATCAATACCGCTCATTTACAATCTAACTTCTTTAATAGTCCAAATATATTGGATTGGACCTTGAACTGTATTGAAAAAGAATCTCTCGCAAATCAAAATCATGCCATCAAATTCCAGCCACAAATTACATTTTCTCCTCCTCCTCTTCCTATTATTATTAACACAATACCAACAAGTCAATCAAACCTTTTCCCCTTTAATAATAATAATAATAATAATAATAATAATAATAATAATAATAATAATAATAATAATAATAATAATAATAATAAT